TCGAAATTATATAAAAATTTATGATTATACTATTGACAAACTTCTATAGGAAATCGCTAAAGAAAAAGAGAAAAATAAACTGATAGTTAAGATAATATATCTCTTCTTCATAAATTATAATCGGCACTTTTTTAAAAGAGATGTATGGCACTATCATTTGATCTAAGAACTGATAGCCTTGTTTTACTGAAGTAGGTAAAACTACATTATCATCAGATATTTTTTTGCAAACCTAAGTATTTCACTTCTATATATATCTGATAAATTCTATTTGATAAGCAATTTCATAAGATCACCAAATTCTTTACTTGAAAAGTTTAGTTCTTCACCAGTTACTGATTTAGTAATATCAAGAGACTTAAAAATAAAGGTGGCTCTACATTAAGTAATAAATATTCTTCCTAAATATATATATATATATATATAAGTTATATATATAAGTTATATATATAACGCTGATCAAAATAAATTTTATTTGTTATTCGTATAGAAGTTATACAAACAATAGCTTATTGTTCTTATTGTTTGTATAACTTCACTTGACCTTATATATAAATATTTACTATTACTTGATTATTTATTTCTTCTATTTCTTAAATGTCCTCTGTCTAACTTTCCAATTGGCCTTCGAGCTCACATTCACCTATCAAGCAATTATCTATTACACTTTTGTTATCTCCAAGTATTTCACCTTCATTATCTTCAAGCTAACTATCTATTCCTATTCTACCTTTGGCACCTCCAAGCTGACTTTCTATTTCACCTTTATCACCTCCAAGCTAACTATCTATTACTATTCTATCTTTGTCATTTCCAAGCTAACTATCTATTTCTATGCCATCTTTGTCACCTCAAAGCTAACTATCTATTTCTATTTCACCTTTGCCATCTTCAAGCTGACTATCTATTCTTATTTCACCTTCATCATCTTCAAGTTGGACATCTAGTTCTATTAAACTTTCTCTTGCAAGATGGTCTTTATTTGACTGACATAAAATACGTCTATTTTTCTCTTTTTCTTTAGCGATTTCCTATAGAAGTTTGTCAATAGTATAATCATAAATTTTTATATAATTTCGA